TAACCCATGTGCCAAATCTGTAATTCATAAAGAGTTATAAAGTATATTATTTTGTATAAAATTTTTGTACATAAATATTAAATAAAAATATTAAAATATTAAATATATTTATATAATATAAATAATAATTATATCAATTATATTATTTAGATAAGTAATTAATTATAATTATTACAAAATATAATTATTATAAAATAAGTAATTATATATTTTTATAATATAAATATTTTTTAAAATATCTTTCAACATTTTTTTTATATGCACTTGGATTGCACATTTGTGTTTGATGCATTGCACGATAGCAGTCAGAGCGCACTTTAGCGACCATAGAATCGTCTAAACTAAATTCATTTGTTATAATTTTATGTTTTGGTCGATTATGTATTGTTACTTTTAAAAACGGATATACATACTAATTTAACATCAATCACATCCTTTATCCACACAAAGCACAAGTATGCTAACGTACCAAATTTACACTTGCAGTAGTTCGTTTTATACACCAACACGTTTTCACTTTAAGAAACAACATTGTACTTTACAGAACAATACATTGCACTTTATCACGATAATCGGATTGCACATTAGAGATCGAAACTGACCAAACTCAAATTGTTTTTCAATAAAAAATAATATGAAAATAATCAATAAAAAATAGTAACATATTAAATATAATTTTAATATAATAATAAATTATTTAGATTATTTAGGATAATTTGATTAACTGATCACAATAAACCAAATAATTAAGTTTGGTTTAAATTTTATTTAAGACAAGATTTTGTTCGAATCAATATGCACAATACCGGCCGGCACAGTGCACCGTTGTGTTAGATGATTCACACGTTAATATATGCTAGATTGCACATTATATTTTGTTTATATAGAATATTACATTTCTAAAAAAATAATATAAATTATTAAATCAACAAATATTACAACACTAATTATGTTTTTATAATACAAATAATATTTATTTCCATTATCTAGATTTTGGCATCATCTCGATCGATTAAACCAAGCCACCCGATGATCCGACCAATTATTAACTATTTGCTGCTGGCCACCGGCCGATGCCCGAGAACGCCAGCGCTAACGCGAGTCGCCGCCTTTTATTTGCATCCACCGACCCCTCCTCTTCATTCCGATGACAAGAAGGTCGTCTCCTCCAGCGATGCCAACCGGTAAATCTTCCAAACGCACACCCTCTCCGCCCGCCATCTTCGCCATCCCACTTCCAGACAATGGCCGCCGACATGGACATCAGACCGCCGCCGCCGTCTCTTTCCCGCCGTCCGCCGCCGTCGTCCTAAGAGAATTGCTCCACCAACTTCAAGCTTGTGGGCATGATTTTGAGAATTAGATAGAATTGAAGGACTTAGTTCTAATTTATAATTTTTTTGTTATATTTCAAATGAGCACATTGGGCTAAATGTATAATTTCAAAAAATATTAAAACAATATTATTTTTTATATCTGAGTTTTATACATATATATAATATGGTTTTAAAAAGTATAATACAGATATTATATAAAAAATATAAAAATACTACATATATCACATATGTAATTATCAGACTGCACAATATTACCAAACAAGATGCAACTTACTGAAAGACAAACTGCACATTTTTGTCAGATCAAATGCACAATATTTTGAGAATGCACATTAGAATATTTAAATAACATAAAATAGAATAAATCACCTAACCGATCCACTTATATGTATATTAATTATTATCAACAAAAAAATAATATAAAAATATTACATAAAAATTATAAATGTTAAATATGTTTTATTATATATATATTTTATTAGTTACACAATAATATCAATTGAAATACGTGATATTTTTTTTTTGTCTAGAATGGTAACGCTGTAAAAAAAAAAATACACGCTCAATATACTGCACATTAATGTTAGACTAAAGGCACATAATATAAGGTATGAATGCACAACATCCAATTCAGGATTTCATATATTATGTTTTTTCAACCAAAACAATAATATAAAATTGTTAAATTAAATTATGAAAATACTAAGTACAATATTAATATACATATATTTTTTTATTATTATTTAGAGTTATACGATTAATCGGTTAATCCGTAGAATACACCAAATAATTCATATTTGTTATAATTTACGTTGAGATAAAAGGTTTGGTTAGATTAAAATGCACAAAAGCAATAGATACAATGGACAATAGTCTTAGACACGTTGCACATTAATGTCTACCAGACTGCACACTAGTGACTGATAATGACCGGACTATTATTTGCCTGTTCGATTTTTTATTTTGTATTTTGATTTAATTAACTATATTTTGTTCTTTCAAAATTTTGAATATCTCGATTATATGACGACGTTATTATTTAAAACGTATGAAACAACCAAACTGACCGAACAACAATCAGTGCAAAATCTGTAATTTAATAAAATTATGATTTTTAAGGTGCATTTAAACCCACAACATTGTGCAATTTTTGGTATTATAATGTGCATTTATTAAACTTTTATTAAATTACAAGAATGCCATACATATTAAAATACAAAAAAAAATTTCATAAAGGTTCTTATGACTTGTTCAATTCTCAAAAACTAGTCCCTGAACAGAAAAATAACAAAAAAAAAAAAAAGCAAAATCCAACCAGCCCTCTACACTCCAACCGACGCCATCTGCCCGCCGTCCTACACCCGAAGACCGGCTATCCGCGGTTGCACCACAACCCACCATTGGATCGCGGGGACGACGAGCTAGAAAGTGAGATGACGGGCTCCACTGAAACGCAGGCCCTTGGCGTCGGAGGAGGTAGAGATGGAGATAACCACCGTCTGGTCGATCAATGTGGCCGTCGCCTGGTCGGTAGCGGCGGATTTTGTGCTATTCGGTGCCGAATTTGGCCGCCTGCGAACTCCATTCAGTGGCTGTCGACACCAATCGACTGACGTCGGCGATGATGCGGGTGGTAGGAAGGCAGTCGCCAGCAACACTAATCGGCGGATCTAAGTGTGTAATAACAGTAATATGGCTGACAGGCAACCAACCGGCGAATGTTTGTGTTTGACTGTGTGTGTTCGTCCATTTTGTGCCTGTGTGCGTGTGAATCTGAGTGTGTGTTTGTGTGTGAGAGAGGGAGGTGAGTGTGTGTTTGTGTGTGAGAGAGGGGAGGTTGTTAGGATTGGTGAGGCCCATGGATAGTGGATAATTATGTAATGACTTAAATATCCATGGTCTAAATTGTATATTTGACCATGATAGATATATTTATTTACGATATTTCCATTAGTCGGTTGACCATTATTTACTACCAGTTGACTTTATTTTGACCATTGATATGATGGATCTAATGGTCTAGATTTATTCTTATTTCTTTCACTATCTACCATTCTCATGTGATCTCATCTCTCTCTCTCTCTCTCTCTCTCTCTATATATATATATATATATATATATATATATATATATTGTCAAGCTATTGTGAGAATGCATCTGAATGTAATAATGAGCCTTAAAGTGAGAATAAATGGTAGCCCCTATATGTATTTCATATAACGGAAATCATCCAACCACATTACCACAACCATCACCAACCCCTAGTCCATTATCTCTCTCTCCCATCCTCTGTCTCCCCGCTGTTTTGTTGTCTTACATGTAAGACCAGTCCCGCCATGACCGGTTTCGTCGGCGCCACTCATATCCTCCTCTGCCAACGCCATCACGGCCGCCTCTCCCACCATCACCGTCCTTCTCCCACCTGAACCATTGAAGTCGTCTGCAAACTCATTCAAAGTTCGGGTTCCCCACACGCAAACTCAATCGTCGTCCCCAAACGCAAACTCAATCGTTTGAAATGCTATCCCAGATGGCGTCGTCGCTCAAGCTCTTCGTTTGTTGCTCCGATTGAAAAAGCGAAAAGTGGGATAGAGATAGAATATTCACAAGGAAAGAGTATCACAAACTCGGCACCAAATTTGATCCCTTCATTTTATTATTATTATTATTTTTTTTTTTTTTTGCATTTCATGCATGATTGCTATTTGATCTCTTCTTAAATTGATACGAATTTAATAAATCCCACGACTGAAGAAATTTGATAATGGCAGATGGTATTTTGATGCGTGAATGTTTCATCTAAATTGGGTTGGGATTGTTGTCTGGAAATTAGATAAGGCATAGGGACTTATCTGTAATTTCATAAATTTTGACTATATTATGTTATAATTTAGTTCACGGACCAAAATCTCTAATTTCTAAAAAATGCACCATAATGTTAATTAAAATGCACCATATTACGTACGAGTATGCACACTAAAAAAGTGCACATTAGACAACGAACATGCACATTTGGCGAAAATGCACAATATGCACATTAGCGTAACAGTGTATTGTGCAAAAATAACAAAAGTACCACTATGCCAAAACTCAAAAAGTATCCATAATTACAGCAATGCCACAACCCCTTAATCCAATGGTGGAGCGTTTACTGATGTAAAAATAAGATTTCATTCAAATGATGTATATTAAAGTATTCATTGTCATTTTTAAGCTTGGAGGAACTCAAACTAAAACAAGGTTTCATTCCAACTATGCATATTAAAGTATAAATGTAGCGAAATAAAAATTGTTGCAGCCTATTGATGTAAAAGGACACAACACTGTAATCGACTTAAATATTAGCAAGATAAAAATAACACATTGCGTAGGGTGATGCTTCACAGCGAACCATTGACGAAAGTCGCCTTATTTGAGCATCATTTTCATTTAAAAACATTGAAGACAACACGCATCATATCGGTTGAGCAACTCAAGTCCGGTCAATCACGCGACATGGAAAATAGCTAGCATGTGGTGTTTAGTCCCGGATTATTATCATAACTGCAATGGAGAAAACAATTTGGGTGAGATATATCCAAATCAAAATATTGAGCTAGGTTAATTAATTTAAGTCGTCGCGCCAATGCATACATCAACTTACATAGCCCCTTGAAAACGAGAGTTACATGGAATGTCCTGTAAGGTTGTTGTTTGACAAATCTCTGCATAACATAACAGAGTTTTTAGCTCGAAATGATTGCTATATATGTCTCGTTTAGAGAAACTATATATCCCAACTTGAATACTCACAGTATCTCAAGGGATGTGATATTGGTCAATGTCCAAAGTATTTCGCCAGTCAGTGCGTTGTTATTCAGCAACCTATCCATGCAAATTAAAGGTACATAAACAACTAGGATTATTATTAGGCGCCTAGTTAGTAATCTCATTTGAATTACTATTAGAAAATCAATAAAAACCATGTCACAAGAATAAAAAGTGAGAAAACATAAAATCCTCATGGGGTCATCCAGAATTGAGTTGTAAATTAATAATTATAATTCATAACAATTTTGATGTTAAATGTAGTTAGCTTGACAAAAAAACAAAAAATACAAAAAAAAAAAAAAAGCATAAAATCACGCACATATGTGTTAAATTCTTCAAGTTGCCCAATGCAGACGGAATGTTGCCTGTGAGGCTGTTGAATGATAAGTCTCTGTCCCAAAAGATCAATTATAGAAAATATATATAATTAGTGTATTCAGACAAAGTAAAGCCAGAACTAAAAATTCCTGTAAGGTTGTTGTTTGACAAATTCCTGCATAACAGAGTTTGTAGCTCGAAATGATTGCTATATATGTCTCGTATAGAGAAACTATATATCCCAACTTGAATACTCACAGTATGTGTAGGGATCTGATATTGGTCAATGTCGAAGGTATTTGGCCAGTCAGTGCGTTGTTATTCAGAAACCTATCCATGCAAATTTAAGGTACATAAACAACTAGGATTATTATTAGTTATCTCATTTGAATTACTGTCAGAAAATCAATAAAAACCATGTCACAGGGATTAAAAGT